GTTCTGACTTCATCTTTCCTCTTTACAGGAGAGAGCTGCAAGATCAAGCACACTCGCATCAAACACAGTCAGATTGGTTATTGGTCCAAGTGGAACAACTTTGACATTTTCTGAAGACATTGGTCTTCCAGATATCTTCAAGCCGATTACTTACAGGTAACCAAACATCTGAGGCTAAATTGAACCATATCTGTAGAATGATGAGGTTTTTAACAGTGTTTTTGTATGAATATTTCTTCAGTTATCCTCCTCCGCGTGAGAAATGTGTAGGGCCGAATTGCGAAAAAACGTACAAGTACAGAGATGCAAAGTCGAAGCTACCTCTATGCAGTCTCAGTTGTTACAAGGCCATTACAAGAGAAGATGCATCAACCTCTGATTCATTGCTAATTGCTTGACAGATTTTTTTGTCATATGTATTATTATCCAACACAATTGTTTCTTAACATGAACAAAAACTTCTCCTTTGTTCATTGACAATATGAAATTCGGGTTGCGAGGCGCATAAAAATTAAATTGACCTATAGTTTTATTAAATCAAAGCAGAAAAAATCTGAAATCCAATGAACAAAATTCCAATTGATAAGAGCAGTATTGGTTTTCTATTCTTGACTCTGATCAAATTCATTTTTAAACTATCCTTGGACCTCACTAATGGATAATGGATTGAAAATTGAGAAATTTCAAAAAATGCCATTTTTCAAGTGCTATTTTAAAAAAATGCCACACTTTTGAAATTTTTACAAAAATGCCACTTTTTCAAAAAAAAAAAATTTTATATTATTTATGTTTGGATTAATTATGTTCTATTAGGATTTAGTTTTGAGTGTTTAGGGGGTTTTAGGTATCAAAACATGTTTTAGGGTTTAAAATTTTAAGATATATGCTCTATAAATCTATAATTAGTGGCATTTTTGTAAATGAACACCTCTAAGTGGCATTCTTGCAAATATAAACCATGCATTTTTGTAATTGCCTTTGGATCTCACTAATGGGTTACATTTACATTTCAAAATTTCGGCCCATTGAATAAAACATCAAAAAAACAAAAAGGAAGTGTGGCTGCTTGGATTCGAGCCCAAGTTTTAACGACCGCAAGTCTGTTTTTTGTTTTGTTTTTTGGCGTCACTATATAAATTAGCAGGAGAAGCTTCTTGGG